CATGAAATAAATTCGTGGCGTATTCATAGAATAATTATTGGTAAAATCAGTTAGATTAACAACTTCTAATATATAGAAAAGTCGGTGCGATCTGGTAACACTACGATCCAACAATGGCTTTTATGTCACGTTGCTTAGCAACAAAAGTATAACATAATATTGTTGTTAGTCTGTGTACCGAAAGAATAAAATGAAATGTATAGACAACAAAACTGGAAAAATATTTGTTGATTTCTTAATTTCGAGTTTCCGTTTATTAAAGAGGTTTGTTTATTAAAAACGTTGGTGATATAACAGAAAATAGTTTAATTCAGAAACGATTTAATTTTAAAATTGAATCGATATTTTTATTCTAATGATAAATTTTATGCACTTGACTCTAGGCCATGTGATCTCACACTACGTCTTCACTTTAGGCTTATTATACTAACACTCACTACACTTATAAGTTTTAACGGCACCCAATCCCCTCACGGCCCCCGTAACTAAAATCGTAATGGGCAGACCGTAATCGAACTATTCTATCTGGATAAATGCATTTTGGCTTTTATGACTCCTGCTATTTCGAAGAATCACGAGAAATTGAGCGTGACGTGACACACGCTGGGTTTTATATAGGTTAGATGTTTATACAAAAGTATCGTGGTCAGTAACAGCATATAGTTGACACTACTTTATATTAATAAAGTGCGTAACGAAAAGACATTAGGTATTATTATGCCCCCCTTTTTTTTTTACGGTACACAGTCTTAGTTGTTTCTGCGATAAAACTGTTGTGAAATATTGTATGACTATGTGGGCGATACTAGGTCAGTTTATGTATAAAATAAAATCTAAAGACACTAGACTCTAATCTATGGGTCGCGAGTTCGAATCCTACAACCGAATATGCTCACCCTTTCAGCCGTGGGGTGTTATAATATGATAGACAATACTACTATTGGTTTGTAAAGAGTATACCAAGAGTTGTCCCAAAATTAAGAACGGTTAGTGCCCTAGATTAGCTTTGCGCGAAATTCAACAAACAAAAGCATGTTTTTGAGAAATGAAAGTTCCTCCAAATAAATGCTTGAAAGTATAGAACACTATAAACAGCGTTGTTGTTACCTATCATTTTACGATTTAAAAATATCTATTAATAAATGTTTCGTTAAATATAAGATGACGACACCAACGTTTCGGCATACACAGTAATTTATCTATATAAAGTTAAAAAATATATATACGCTAAAAAGTTCAACATGTTTCCGTTAGAACGTGCTCCATCATCTTCAGGAGACAAAGAAGACACAAAGTTTCTCTATAGACACAGTAAATACATGATCGTGTCACCCATTATCACATAAAATGTCTTAATTTTTGTGTTTTATATAAGGGTGTTAATGTTTTATGTAATGAAGATGTAATGCTAGAATTAAATTATTTAAAATATGTAGTGATTGATAGAGAATATATCAACCTAATATCATAGGTAGGATCTACAAACAATATTATAATAAATTACAAATTTCTGGATGTACCAAATTACAGAAAACCAGAAAGGGAAGTAAAGAAAGAATATGTTTGCCATATGTTCCATCATGGTCAACAAAAATAGATCAAGTGCTTGTGTACAATACGGATTGTCAAATAACTTTTACTCCTCAGTTAGAATTTATTAATATCATTAATAGTGTTAAAGATAAAAATGACCTAAGGGACAAATGTGGAATATACAAAATTTCACGTAGTTGCGGTTTGGGTTAGGTTGGACAGACAAGCAGAAATTTGAAATTTAGAATAAAAGAGCACAGAAATGCTGTTGATAAATTTAAAACAAGTAATTCGGCCTTGGCGGAACATGTGGCGAACTCTTCACATCTCATTGATTGAGACGACGTAAAAGTAATTAAACAGGCAAAGTTAAAAAACGAACTAATAAAAGAGAATCGTTAGAAATGTTTAAAAATAAATATTTTGAACAGAGATTTAGGACCATGTGCCACAGAAGTAAATTCCTGGAAATCGATTTTGTAAATGGCACCACTGTATAATATGTAAACTGTACACGTATATTTAATATGTATGTAAAGGAACTTTAGTTGTTTTCCTTGTCTCCTGAAAATGGTGGAGCGTGTTCCATCGAAACTTGTAGTTTTTTAGCGTTTATATATAGGTTTTGGTTTACTTCTAACTTTAAATAAATAGTTATTGTGCATGTCGAAACGTTGGTCTTGTCATTTTAGTTTTATTGAAACTTTGTACAAGATCTGTCAGTCTAACGTATCGAAGTGTTTCATATTGATATTTTACCTTTCAGAAGTTTTCCAAGATCTGCTTGACCAATCTCAAAAGGATTTCCACAATATGTTCTTACGTACTTATGGCATGCTGTACGATAGAAACTCCTACATCTTTGAAGATATGTTTAAAGTACTGAGAAATTACTATAATTCGGGAGGAATCCAGCTGTCAGAAGCTCTTGGCACCTTTTTTGATACGCTCTATAGGAAAATGTTCGAAGTAGGTTTTTAATTTTGTGTATTTGAACGACTTAAGTGAGTGCAGTATTATATGACATTATTAAATATTATTCTTTGCTTTCACCCATAAGTTCTTAGAAATGCTGTTATTACGTCACTTCCTTGTGGGTATATTTATTAACTTTGTTGTGTAAAGTATATTATTGCTTGAAGGAACTTAAATGTTGAAATTTCGTGACCTCATCGTAATTTTTTCTTATTAAAAGACTGTGCAAGAGGATTATATTCCAAACTTATATGCATTATAGAGATCTTGCTCGTGACGTCACTGATCCTTTTTTTGCATTCATTGCCGCCATATTGGATGTTAAACATTCTCTTCTAGCAATCAATAGAAATCTGTGTCGATACAAGACTTGCATGTTTTTATAGTTCTGTAACCATCTGTGCAAAAGGGCCGAAAACCATTTAGTGTCTGGTTATACCTTTCTTTATACACATCGATGAGATGATTTACAGTGTCACATAATACGATATTAGACAGGTAGTTTGTCATTTTCATCCAAGACGAATATAAGCAGTTGACGTCCAATATGGTAGAGTGAATTATTGACCACGTGACTTATTTACGTCAGTGCAAGACCTCTATAGATCATGTATAATTTTATTATTAAACATTCGGGTTGTAAAAGGTATATGTTAACTTTTTATTTTCCCTTAGGTTTTGAATAATCAGTACACCTTCAGCGAGAGCTATTTGTCTTGTATCAGTAAACACATGGAAGAACTGAAGCCTTTTGGTGATGTCCCCAGAAAACTGACATTAGAATTGAAGCGTTCTTTCATCGCTACGCGTACCTTTGTACAAGCTCTTGCTGTGGGGAGAGATGTCGTTGGGGAAATATTGAAGGTAAGGCTTTTTAAGTTGATTTGGATTTGTTTGTGTTTGATATTGGTTTCTGTAATCCCTGTAGTAATATTTTCTTCGCGTGGAATATCTAATATAGGTGTCTTTATTTTGTTTGAAGAGCCTGATGTGCAGATTCATTAAACAAGATTCGAAATGTCAGTCGTTCGAACACTTATTTCTCAACTAAAATATAACCTGATGGAGGAGTCCATAACTGTAAAGTAGTATGAATATTTAGTTACTAGTGTGTAGAGAATAGATTTGTTAAGCTATCATGTTTATCTTGAATTCAGATTATTTAAAACTAAGGATAGTATTTATTCTGAGCTGTCTTTTTTCTTGAGGAAATCGGTAGAAAGAATGAAGTTAAACTATTATCCATTATCCTTATGAAGATCATGAGACGGGATTAACCCTATTTTTTGTTCTTGAAAATTAAAGAGCAAATAGGTAGTCTTTGTTTTCATTTATACTTTGTAGATTGTGAAGAGTGCACATGGGAGTTATATGTTATTTACTTGAGATTTGCCCCCCCCGGTGGCTCAGCGGCACGTCTGCGGACTTATCCACTAGAAACCGGGTTTCGATACACAGATAGTCTTTTGTGTAGCTTTGTGCTGAATAACAAACAACAACAATACTTGAAATTTATGTACCTACGAATTCAGGATTAAGATTGTGAATGATCGCATGACGTTTATTCATGATTGAGACTATGAACGACACACGAAATAATTTTAATGATTACGATTGTGAGAATTCTGTCAGAGAATTAATCGTAAATGAGATCGTTGAAATTACTTGCTAATGGCAAAGAATACGAAAAAAAGCAAGAGAACGAAAAGACTCGTTACATATTCGTGGAGTTTTGTGAAGTGAATAAAATATTTATTTGAGTTTATTTTCTCAATAAAAGGATTAAGTATATTTACCAAGTTTTATACTAGTGTTTGTGTGTCTAAAGAACAGCATAACGTTTCCATGTTAGAGATACTTATATGTGGTATTGGTATTTTTAATCTAATCTACACCTTATGCGACATATGGGCAAACGCCCAGACCGGTGACTCCTAGGATTCAAATAGAGCTATCTATAATACAGCACCCACCGCACGCTACCAAGGTTTATTCGGCTTTGAACTTAATAAAGTGGTGAACTGTCATTATCATACAACGCACCCACACATGAAAGCGTGGGGCGTATTTAACTTGCGAAGCTTGGACCTTCAGATACGCAGCCCAGTACCCTAACAGCTAGACCTCGCCCAGCCCTGTATTTGATATGGGTTTTGGTTGTTGGTTGTAGATTGATTTGTAACTTAGTGGACATTTAAAAGACATATATGGAAACTCAAGAATTCGATAGCATTTAAAGCTTTTATTTTCAGAAGTATACATAGAACTTTTCGTAAATAAACAACCATTTAAAAGTGATAAAACAAGTTTCATTATCATAACCTACATAAGTGACGTTCAGTTAAACGTGATTACAAGTTATAAGTTCTGTGTTTTTGAACGTTTTAAAGTTGTTGCTATGCTTAGACCTAATATATTTACTACATCTTGCTGTACCAAACATAATCTCAAGTATCAATTTACTTGTTTCATTCCTTGGCTTATGGGATGGTTAAATAGCAGTAGCACATAGTACTTGCTCTCTAACGGCTGTAATTACAAAAGGGAACAGACCTATGAGACTTCTAAAAGTAAAATTCTGAAGCTGTTGACAGAATTAAATAATACGTGACATTTGATACGCTCAGATGAAACTAGAATGTCATGTTTATGGAGCTTAGGAAACCAAATTCCTTTCACGTTACTTCATCAAGTAACGTCATACCTAATCTCTTGGTAAGGGGCCGTTCTATAAATCACATTCAGATTAAAATAGCTATTTTTCGTTTTTAATTAAACAATATACGAGATTTTTATTTAGATAACTAGGTCCGGCACCAGAATTAATTATGGTTGTAGTGGATCTAATCTCTTGGTCAGGGGCCGTTCTATAAATCACATTCAGATTAATCTATTTTTTTGTTTTGTAATTAAACAATATATGAGATTTTTATTTAGATAACTTGCTCCAGCACCAGAATTAATTATGGTTGTAGTGGATCTAATCTCTTGGTCAGGGGCCGTTCTATAAATCACATTCAGATTAAAATAGCTATTTTTCGTTTTCTAATTAAACAATATATGATATTTTTGTTCAGATAACTAACTCTGGCACCAGAATTAATTATGGTTGTACTGGATCTACCCACACCCCCTCATCCCACCACCACCACCTCATTCCTAACATATTTCAATCAGTACGAGCTCGTTGATCAATTCCTCTTCCACCATTCTAGCGTTTTGCCCCATTTTAGCACACGTTTCCGCCCAAAGTAAGCGATTTTAATTAGTGAGAAACAAAGAATAGTCATTTTGAGTAAAGGAAGGTCAACATTCTAGGGCTTGGTTTTGAAAACCGTATTTAATGTTTCTTTTTTTTTTTTGTCGCTTTTGCCATTTTCTTATTAAACGCGAAATTAATATTGCATCCTTCAACCCATTCATTTAAAATTACCAATCTGTTTTGTAGCATTTAATCACTCTAGGCTACGTGAGAAATTTCAATGTTGAGTAGAAAGTTGGCTATCAATCTTTTTAAAGTGTATAGGTAAAAAACAAAAAGTTGATGTTTTTATTAGAGGAAATAGTTTAAAACCTGACTACTTTTAATAATCTTTATAAGTCCATTAAAACTTCCATATAGATATATGTATAAATCTAATAACTAATCTCTCTAGTTGCACAGCGGCATGTCTGCGGACTTACAACGCTAGAAACCAGTTTCGATACTCGTGGTGGACAGAGCACAGATAGCCCATTTGTGTAGCTGTGTGTTTAATTACAAACAAACAAATCTAATAACCGAATGTCTGTCTGTTTGACACACACTGTATCTCCTGAACGGCTAATCGTAGAATAAAAAACATTATATATCAAAATGCGTCTTTTAAAGAGTACATTACATAAAGATTACTAATTTTTTGAACTTCTTAAAATTTCTTATCGATATCAACATCGATCCGTCAGTCTTCGTATGTGATAAACGGTCAGTCTGAGAAAAAAAAACTTATTCAGAACAAAAATGTTTCTTTTTATGAGTGAATTGCAAGAATAAAACGGGAAGTCCACTCTTGACTTACTGAAAGATATATTTCGAAGATAGGAGCATTAACGGAAGAAAGGCATAAAGAGAGAAACATATTTGGGTATATATTTGTTGTTGTTCGGTTTATATATATATATATATATATATATATATATGTGTAGTATTTTATTTCTATATCGGTATTATATATATACATGATTTAATTGTACCATGTCGAATAAATTGATTTGAATTTAATATCTCTTTCCCCTTTCACGGTTTTTATAGAAATGACAACTGTCAAAAAGCGCTCACTTTGGTAGCGATGTTTTCTTGCGCTCAGTAAAATATTTGACAAGGAACTGTGTCATCCAGCGAAAAAAATTCCAGTGGCTACTTAGGGAAGCTGAGCGCTCTTCTGTGCTGGATGCACTCATTGTATCGAAATTCAAACATTTTTGCTAACAGTTCGTAACAGTCACTTTCCTTTACTTAAAAACAAATGCAATCCAATTTTCCTTATTTAAACAACACATGGTATTACAAAAAACGGCTGTAAATGGCCTACTAGACAATCATATACACTCTGATCCAAGGAATTGGGTTGACTGCACATTTTATATTTATTTATTACTATTTTTAGAAAAACTGTATTTGAATTTTTTCAACAGGCACCTGTTAGTTCGCTTATATTCCACGCCATTTCGGATTTAATTTTCATTAATTTTAGTTTATCTCTGTACAGTTGTTTTGCCGTTTCTAATGTTTATCGTTGTTGTGACACATTGTTTTTCCTTTATCTCTTTTTTTAAATTAATTAACTTTCTTTGATATTTAGTGTTACGTTTGAAAATTAACTGTCAGGTGTACTTGATTATTATAACCTGGGTCGAGCATATCTTAGACGTGATGTTGCTGAGCACGTCCCACAATTTCTGCAGTAAGGGCGTTATAAGAGTGACAGTCAATACTGGTATTCGATTCCAAGAGTTGACCAAAGCGCTAATGGCAACGGGAGCTGCTGGTTGGCTCCCACTCCCATTTTGTTAACACTTCAAAATTAGGGACATAGATACCTGAATCCTAAATGCCTCTAACCATGTTGTTTAGCCCACGTGTGGATAAGGTGACGTTCAAGTTGAAAATTCGAATTCCGGTTGTTATAACTAGTTTTCTTGTGGTTTATCTATATTATTGTGTGTAATTTTCTGATTGCTTATTCGATATGATAAAACGTGAACAATAACTTTAAAATATTAAATAAAAGCTACTTACTAGTTTGAGATAATACAAAACTTGCATTCATGTTAAACAATGTCACTTTAGTAGTTTCCCGTAGATTTGATCGAAATTTATGAGTCCAGAGCATTAGGGTGCATCTTGAAGGAGAATGAACAATTCTATTATGTGACGGTAGGAGCAACAGTTATTCTGAAGACTAAACTTATTAGTAACAGAAGGTTCTCATAAACTTTTTTCCTTTTTTCATCACTGTCAAAGAGTGTTCATCCTGCCCGCATTTCACTCTTTTCGAAACTCTAGTGGTAACTAAGCTCAGCGTGAGTTTTCAAATAAGGATGTTCTTAACCAGTTGACCAGAGACGGTTTGGTGGAGTCCCACTGGTGTGAAGCTTACTCGCAGACACCAGGAGGCATGGCTGTCCTGCAAAAACTTATTTTCGCATTCACAGCTGTGCCTTTGTAAGCCGACTTCTAATTTCCCAGAGTTAAATACGTTGGTACTTGAAAATTACAAGTGTACATATGTGTATTTCCATTCAGGAAGTGAACATTTCAAGCGTGAGAGATTCAAAAACCTAAAAATTTCTTGGAAGTATTCAGGTACATGCACTTTACAATCCCACCCATCTCTCCAACCATCAACAATTTCGTTCCTTTAGGTTCCGTTTCCGTTGTTGATTTTCAAGCAAACTATAATGATTTATATTTTAGCAGGAAACCGACATATCGTGACGTAAGCCACTGTAGTAGTAGTAGTAGCCAACTTGTTTTTATTTACCGTCTGTGTTATTTTTAATAAAGTGTGTATGTAATGTTAAATGTAACTTACAGAATTCCCATCAGAAGGCGTTTTGAATTAGACCGTGTAACGGACACAGAGAAATTTGAAATTTGTGAACCTTCTTGCTTGGCGTTTGGTATTCACAACATGCAATCTCAACTAAAACATGCAACCTTGTTCCTTTATTTTCTAGACATTTCAGAATAACCTGTTCTAACTTTAGCAAATATATGCAATAGAGTTTGTGACAACCTCTTAGAAAGCTCTTCAAAGCTTGAGTCCAGGGTTCGAACCGCAATATGGCGCTGAACCCCTCTCCGCACTTTCAGCTTTGTGGACAGTAAATTCACTGTCACTGTCAATTCTATTTGGCTACAAGGTGTTGTTGGCTGATTTTCTCCCTCTGTTTGCGGACTTATACTGCTAGAAACCGGGTTTCGATACCCGTGGTGGGCAGAGCACAGAAAGGCCTTTGTGTAGATTTGTGTTTAATAACAAACAACAACTTAAAACGCTAAAATCCGGCGTTCAATTCCCTGCGGTGGACAGAGCGCAAATTGTTCATTGTGTAGCTTTGCGCTGAAAACCCATCATTTAAGAAGGCTGTCACAGAGTATGTGAATAACAGTTTTAAACAGATCTCTCTCATTTCACTGTAGGTTGGACCTACTCCAGAATGTAGCCGCGCCCTGATGAAAATGTCTTATTGTCCTCACTGCAAAGGACTTCCGGATCTCAAGCCATGTACCACCTACTGCTTGAACGTCATGAAGGGTTGTTTGGCCCACCATTCTGAGCTGAATACCACCTGGAACAGTTATATAGGTAAAATGGAACAGTTTCTTCCTTTTCTTTCGTTATAAGATAATTTATTTCGTAAAGAGTATCTTCTAGCAAGCATGAACGAAATTTCGTTATATAGGCAAATTATGCAAAACGTGAAGAAACTTTTCTGTTGAAAGTTTTTAAAGTGTAGAAAAATTATGTTGAAAAATCTGTTTCGTTAGGCTTATCACATGAAATAAGAGTGTGTATTTTTAATTTATATAACCATTTGCTGTTTATTTAGATTGGTATTGTCTATTAATTGTTAGAAAATCTTGGAATGTATGATCTGTTCATCAAAAACAATTCATAACCTGTATATTAGGGTAAAATATTGCACAATAGAATGGCTGAAAGAGAAAACTCAATACTTGTCAGTGAATTATATATTTGATGTCTCATTATTCACTTCTATAGGGTTTTTTTTACCCCTTGTGTTTCACTGGTAAATTCATAGGGGGCAGAGCAAATATGAATTGGGGAAGGATACTGACAGCTGGGGGCACCATATTTGCTATGTTAACAGTAACCTGTGATTTCAAAGTTGAAATAGCAACGTTTCCTGATAATTATACACAAGTCTATTTCCCAATCAAAGGGGCACTTCGCTATTTAGGGGGCCCGTCTATGAGTAAATTGACTAGTTTTACTCTGTTTAGTAAAATAAACTTATTATTTAGTCGCACAAAAACAATAACTAAATGAATATATATATATGTGTGTGTGTGTATGTGTCGTAGTAGCATCGTTGAAGGCTCTCTCCTCTTTAAGTTGGCCCCCTAGTGGCACAGCGCTAGAAACCGGGTTTCGATAACCGTGGTGTATAGAGCACAGATAGCCCATTGTGTAGTTTTGTGCTTAACTACAAACTAACAAACCTCTTTCAATTGTATACTGTAGTCTACAAAATGTAGATATCATTAGCTGGTCTGTAAATAATATATCGTAATTCAAAACGTGTTTAAATGGTATTTACTGATTTTAAACAAAGACGACATCTTTCATCAGGATTTAAAAAATGCTAAAAAATTTATGTAGTAACAGATGATAATTCTGACTTATTTTTTTCATATATTTGTATAGTTTGTAATTGTAGGTTGTCTAATGTAGTGTGTTGAGGCGATATGGACTTCTTCGGGTTCTTTAAGATCTCCTTTGATTTGCTGTTTTTATCGAATAGTGACCAATGACACTTTTTCTTAACTTCCCCATATCCAATGTATGGGTTTTTCTCATGGTGAGTACAAAACATGTTCCCACCAACAGTACGTTTGATACTTTTCACTATGATATAGGTCCAGCTTATCTCTTTCTGTTTAACTTGTGTTCAGGGTTACTGACGAGGAGTGGAATTCTCCGAAATTAGTATAACCCAGTAACACACGTTAATCAAAGTGTAGATTGAACTGGACCTCCCTTGAATATAGATTTCGAAATTAAACAATTTTCGGGATATTAAGTTTATTTGTTAAACGCGAGATATCCTGCCATAGTTTTTCACATTATATAGCTGTGTATAGGTTTTTCTCATAGTGAATACAAAGCACGTCCATACCTTGCTTTTATTCCAGCCTTTCTCTAATCAGAATCTATATACTCTTGGAGCTTAATTCCTCGCTACTGTTCTAATCCAGGTATATTATTTTAACTTTATCTCGTTTTGCTACTGAGGACACATGAAGATTGCGTAGTGAAAAGTAGGGTAAAGAAGTTTGTATAAAAATATATCTAATCCACACAGAATGTTTCTGAAACCCAGTCATCGTGAAAAACCATCATTAATCTCAGAAAAGATGATGACGATAACCCAAAGTTTATAATTTAAAGATCCGATAGTGTATAAGATTGTTTTAGTTCTTGAGAAGGAGAAAGTTTGAGTGCCAGAAATAATTATTTGTTGGAGCAAAATAAACGTAGGGTCAGTTACGATTACTCGAACAACCGGTTATGACTCGATTCCAAACTTTAACCAGTTTTCAACATTCTACTCGAAGCCGTTGTTTTTTTTTTATATATCTATATCGCCACATGCTTCATGAATCGAAATTTGATTGTAGTAGAAGTTCACTACACCACGAGGCAACAAATTTGTTTGTTTCTTTTTAAGTTTCGCGCGAAGCTACATCAGAGCTATCTGCACTAGCCGTCCCTAATTTTGAAGTGATAGACTAGAGGGAAGGCAAGTATTCAACACCACCCGCCGTCAATTTTTGGGCTACTCTTTTACCAACGGAGAGTGGGATTGATCGTTACTCATAACGCCCTCACGGCTGAGGGGGCGAGCATGTTTGATGACGGGATTCGAACTCGCGACCCACAGATTGTGAGTCGAGCACCCTAACCACTAGGCCTAGGGGAAGGAAATAGTTGGTACGAAAATTTAGATCTTGAGATGCTTTACAGCACATACAGAAATACATCGACAGAGCATGCGCGAGGATTTACACTCTGTCAGATAATAAACATACGAGACGATAATCTGAATATGTCTGTTCGTCTGAAATATTCATTATATTTTGTTCTGATGTAGAGGACTGATTTGATCATTTTTGCATGGATGACTAATAAAAATTAAAGACGAAGGAAAATATGTGTTTAATTAAATCCTGTGATCTGTGTCAGCTCCACAACGTGGCGTCAAGGATTCGTAGACTCGAAGTCAAACCAGTTAATCAGTTACGAACTGGTTCAAGCATGACGACTAACGGTATTTTCAAGGATAAATTGTACGGTGTATGAAAAACGTAATATTTTAAGTATTGGTTGTTTGGGTCGAGGTAGCCCTAGCATAAACCTTGCATAATGTTCTTGTAACGCTTGTTAATTTAGATTACTTTAAATGACATGAATGATTTGAAGCTAAACAAGCTGCCAAACACAAGAACAAACGTTTACAAACTTGTCGCAAAACATTTAACTTCTCAGCTTTTTTTTTTATTGTAGTATGATGCTAAAAGTGTTCAACCCTCATCGTCCGGTTTGTATCAGAACCGTTGCGGCTTCGGATCCTAGTCCCTCTTTCATCTGGAATTTGATCCCAGGATGTAAATAAAGATGTGGAAGTTGCACGTTCCTAAAACTTAAAAAAGTGAAGACATTTTTTCTTAGTCTCTCACATCCTGTCTCAGCCATGCTAAATTGATTGAAGTTGGAGTATAACAACAAGATTTTAAAATATATATTAACTGAGTATCATAGAACCAGGTGATGCACATTGAAATGTTTGAGCTATATTTTTGGTACAAGAAATGTTATTGACTTACACAAAATTAATCAAGGTATCTAATAGCCGGATATGGTGACCATTTGTACACATCGTCTTGACATATAGCGCGGACAGTGGAACAAGCGTACGCACAGTATTTAGCGTTTTAATATACAACCATATGAAGATTAGCATGTTTCTCGTAGATTGGACTTTTGCCCTTTCCACAAGAGAGACTTCTAATTTTCGTTAAGGAAATTACTTTTACATAAATGGCCAGGTGGTTAGCGTGCTCGACTTGCAATCTGCGGGTCGCGGGTTCGAATCCCCGTCACACCAAACATGTTCGCCCTTTCAGCCGTGGGGGCGTTATAATGTGACGGTCAATCCCACTATTCTTTGGTAAAAGAGTAGCCTAAGAGTTGGCGGTGATGACTAGCTGCCTTCCCTCTAGTCTTACACTGTTAAATTAGGGACGGTTAGCGCAGATAGCCCTCGAGTAGCTTCGCGCGAAATTAAAAAACAAACAAACTTTTACATAAATAGAATCGTTCACTTGGACGACACCTCGTACACAGTGAATTAAACGGCTGGGTCAGAGGCCCCATGATTCAAATAGAGACTTTGCTAATTTGAAACTTCGGACAGGACAGAAGGCAAACAGTCGGCAGCACCTGCTGCCTGGTAGCTAGCTACTCATAACCGAATCACGGAATTGACTGGCACTCGTATTATACACCCACAGATGAAAGTTTAAAGTGTTTGGTAGAACCATGTCTCGAACCCCTGACCCTCGAATCTCCAGTCCTATAGCTAACCACTAGACTACACTCGGCCCCCTAAAAAAAAGACAATAAGGATACTTCTAAAATAATGATGCGCACTTTGTATTACAAATAGTAAAGATAAAAAATTACACAAATCGTATATAAGCAGAGAAATCAGAGGTTTGTACTTACCTACAAGTGAAATGATGTCTACAAAATTTTAAGAATATAAAACTACTTATACTTGTGACACGAAAATACATTTTCCTATAGTGTTTTTAATCAAATGTTTGAGTGTAATACCGTAAATTCAGCGCACATGCCCCCCAGGAGCACAGCGGTATGTCTGCGGACTTACAACGCTAGAATCTGGGTTTCGATACCCGTGGTGGGCAGAGCACAGATAGCCCTTTGTGTAGCTTTGTGCATAACTACAAACAAACAATTCAGCGCACATTTCGAAACGTTGTCTCCGAAACTAGATACAGTACAAAAGCAGTAGTACATATGAAGCTATTTAGTACGTTTGATGTATATCTATCCTGCTCTAATCTGATCCCTGCTAGGCTGTGTGAATCTCTAGTTCGGCCAAGGATCCTGTATTAAAATGAGGTTCTCTGATGATACACTGGAGACTTCCACAGTTCCACACTCCAGTGATTTTTTTGCACAGAGTTCTTTAAATTTCTACTCAGTTCTGACAATATGAAACAACAGCTACGAACCCTACCCCAGCATTCCATATGGTATGCCGTGGTTGTGGGTGAGTGGACAGTGTTTTCTTATATATATTACAAATAAACGGTCTGCTACGGATCCAGGCCATGTTGAGGGAGATTGGTCTGTCTTTTTGACGTAGTTGTCCGATCCGGTAGTCAGTCTCACCTGCCATGGTATTATTTATCCTCCCCGGTTTGTCGCAGAATCGTCTTAAAAAGTCCGATCTCTTGATGAGAAAATATCGACCCATTTTTGGAAAAAAAAAAAAAAATTCCCCTATATATATCCCATTTTTACCTATTTTCACG